GTTTATAATGTTAAATATTTGTTTCAACACAATTGCGGTCTCTGAAATAAATGAATCTAGCATACTTTCAAATAGAAATTAAATATTTTATTTATTTGTATATATAAAAAAAATATTTAACTTCTTTTTAAATTGCAGTAGCGCATACAAGAAGAGCAATTTTAAAAAAACTCACTCAAATTATTTATATTTAAAAACGTTACAATTTTTGTTTGTGAAAAAAGACAATCGTTCTAATTTAACAAATATTTTATCAATATGAATATTTTTCCATAATTCAAAATTGAACACAATTATTTCTCATAATAATCATTAGGTAAGTTAAATAGTTTCATCTATATAATGACTGATATAATAAGCGATTTAAGTGATGTAACGATCAATTATTTTTTCTTTGTTTTGAGGCAAAAGTTACAAACTGTTGCATTTTATTATGCAAAATACTAATACATATGTGCTTGAAGTCAAAGAGTTCGAATTAGAGATTTGTTAAAGAGTTTAACTTGTCAAATAAAAAATAAAGCATATAAATATCATTTGTAAATCATTTTCAGAATGTAGTAAAGAGTATAAAAATTCAAAAAAAAGGCCCTTCTAGGATAAATAGCGATAGGCCCTAGCGGAATTCTGCTATTTATAGCCTCTGGGGCCAGCATGGCAATGCTTTGTCAAATGTTTCAAGTACAAGGCTGATTATCTTGTCAACATTGGAGGGGCTTTTACTAAAATATTTACTTTGTGGTGCTCTAAAACATCTTAAATCTAGGATATTCATATCTGGACTGTTTGATGGCTGACAAATTAAACAAATATCAAATTTATCCTGAGACGCATTCACCATAAATTCTGAATCATCAATGGCTATAATCAGTTTTGCATTGTCCTGTTGTATAAAAATAGTTAGGCTCCTTTCAATATGATTTCCATTTTGAATGTATGGCTGGTAAAAGATTATTTTAAAGCATATTGCGATACTCAAATTTATCTTCAACAATTGGAGTTGTAACTTGTGTTCCCTTACTTCAATCCTTACTGTTTTTCTTCCCAGATTCAAATGACCAAATTCTAATCTTTCCATCAAACCATTCATTTGTATGTCAGTCAAACCTTGGTCTCGCAGCGGCGGCCAGGAACATAATTTTTATGATAAAATTCTTAAATTTTACATGTCGATGGTACCGTCCTGATTCTTTTGTCAAATAGAACCATTTTTCATCTACATGAATTGTGTTAAACATATTTACAAACTGAACTGTACCGTTTACAAAAAATTGTCAATGAGAAAGAATAAATTCAATACATTGCTTCCTATTTTGATCTGTTAAAAAAGGTTTCACCTTTATTGTCGACTTGAGACTGGTGATCCAGATCACCAGTTTTAAGTTGACAATAAAGGGTTATGGTTGGAATATTTAAAGATCTAGCCAATGATCAAATGGTTTCACGCTTGTTCAAAGGGGCTTTACTGATTCTTGTTATTTGATTTTTCTTTTTTCATCTACATCTTCCCTTCTTTTTGGAGCACACCTTTGATAGCATACTTTCTTGTCTACGATGCTAAAAGTTACTATTATTTTAGTTCAAAGCTAACTTTTTTAGCAGTATTTTTAAGCCTTTTTTTTTTTTTAAATTTTATTTAGATGCCCCAAGAAGTCCTTATGGTCTTATCATAGAACGCAGCGGATAAGCATTTAATTGGAAGTTCAAGCCTCCTTCCTAACCAATGTCGCAAAACTTGCCCAGAGGTGGGGTTTGAACCACAGATCCTTTGTTTCTGAGGCAAGTGCGCTACTACTGCGCCACGGCTGCTCATAATTTGCAGGGCTGCTTTAATTTTTTATTAATGCTTTGGGATAACAGCTCATTGTAAATCATTCTACATTTCTTGTTTGTAAGTTCACATATATCTCTTTTATTCATTTTGCGAAAACTTAGTTGCAAATTTTTAACACAAATTATGTTAGCTGTTTCTAAATTTAAAATATATTGATACTGCAGTAGAAAAATTCAATATAAAAGCCACAAAATCAACACCTGACTATATTTGTTACAGAATTAAAAACAATAAAGTCAACTATTGAGCATAAAGTATTTTATATTAAATAATTTATTACAGATTAAGAACTTTTAAAAAGATGTTACTATTTTCTTTTTTCCACTAAAAATGATATGTTATTAATTTAAAGTTTATAATTTATTTTTAACATAATGGAACAGTATTTTGAAACGAAATATTTCTTTAAAATATATCCAAATAAATTGTTTATAAAATTATAGAAAAACATCTATATTTTATATAAAAAATTTGTTTAATTAAAAACATAATTTATTTTCAATAATTTTTTACAATGAATGCAAATCGGAACTGTATTTCGGAACAGAAGGAGTAATATATATTATAAATATACTTTATATTATATGTCAGATAAAATAAGGAAAATCATACACAATCCATGGGATAATGGGAAAATCATACACAATCCATGTTTTTCTATAATTTTATAAATTGTTTATAAAATTATAGAAAAACATCTATATTTTATATAAAAAATTTGTTTAATTAAAAACATAATTTATTTTCAATAATTTTTTACAATGAATGCAAATCGGAACTGTATTTCGGAACAGAAGGAGTAATATATATTATAAATATACTTTATATTATATGTCAGATAAAATAAGGAAAATCATACACAATCCATGGGTTGATAGGTAATTGCAATAGAATAGAAAAAGTACATTTTTAAAAATGAAACAAAGACAGTTTTAATTTTTGGTTATTGATTTTTAGTTCATCCACAAAGTATTCAAATACACTGTTTAAAAATCCTTTTTTTTTTTGTGTTTCAGTAGCAATACAGAGAAGAATTAAGTAAGTGTTACTTGCATAAGTTAATTGCAAAGGCAAGTCTTCCGAAGTATCATTTTAGAAAAAATATGTTTTATGCAAGCAACACTAAGTATAAAAATTCTTAACATCAAGAGCTTCTAGAGAGTAACAAGTTGATATTATTGGTCACAAATAATACTCTTGAGTCCTTAATACAAGGAGGGTGGGGGGTGAAATTTTTTTTCAAGATTTAATAAACAGGGGTTTTGATAAATAGAGGGGCAAGAAATCTTCACTCAAAATCTTGTTGAATTCCTTTTTTTTTTGTTTTAAATTAAAAAATGTCATTTTCTATTTACTCAAATCTAAAATAAATATTTAAAAAAAAAAATTCATATTTTTGAAATTTTGATTTAATTTCCCTTCATTTGAGACCCATGACATACTTTTGAAAAACATTTTTTTTATAATATTAGGGACCTGTTTGATGTTTGAGAGACACCCTAAAAAAAATTTCTTATTCTAAATTTTTTTCAGGTATTATTTTATTATATAGAACACATTCAGGGGGTGTCAGCAGACTTTTTGATTTTATACATATATATATATATATATATATATATATATATATATATATATATATATATATATATATATATATATATATATATACATATACATATACATATACATATATATATATATATATATATATATATATATATATATATATATATATATATATATATATATATATATATATATATGTATATATATATATATATATATATATTTTTTTTTTTTTTTTTTTTTTTCGAACATTGCATTAGCAATAAATTTGTAAAAATTTTAATAAAAAATCACAATATTTTTTATTCTTGACATGTTTCGTAGTCTTACTACATTTTCAAAAGATTTAATTTACAATTAAAACTCTGGTAAATAAATTTAAAAACTGAAGACAATACAGAGAAAAAATTAACGGACAAATAAACTTGTTACAAACCAATTTTTAAATTATTTAACTCTATATTAATGTTTTTTAAATTATTTAACCCTATATTATCTTTGTGAACTTTTCCTAAAGTTAGTAAATATCTAGTCAATTGTGTTGAGGTGCTTTCAATCTGCAATCTTTTTTTTTTTTTTTTATCACAAGATATCTAAGTTTTAAATTTTTATAATTTATGTTTATAAAGTGTTTTATAAAAATCTACAAACAATAGCTTGATTTATTGATATATAAAAAAAATAGCTTGATTTATTGATATATTGATATACATGCTTAAATATTATGCCATTACGGAAAGGTGTATTTCTTAAGGCAGCCTCAACCTCCCCCTCCCCTCATAAAGAGATCAAAACTGGTACCTCGATATTGATATTTATACATCACTTAGTTTGTGTTTACCTTATTTGGTTTTATGCGAAGATAAAAAATTCAAATAGCATCTCGTTATAAAATGAAATTTTTTGAAGTTGATGTAAGCCTATGCTACCTTAGTTACCCTGCAAAAAATTAATTATTTAAGGTTTTAATAAATGTTTAAGTAGTACGTTGTTGGTAAAAATTTATTGAAAATTGTTTAAAGTATAAACATTTAGTAACATTTTAGTAATTTTAGTTTCAGTATGTCTGTGTGTTATAAAACTTTATTGTATGATAAATTGAAACAAGCATGAAAATGAAAATTAAGAAAGAATTTCTGTTGATTTTACTTCTTAATTAGACTTGTTGAAAGAAATAAAAGTTTGTTGAATTATTCTGAATTCAAACATATACAGTTGATATTCAATCTTTTTGAGAAGAGGTCTAGATATATGTTATGTCTAATTTAAATAGTATATATTAATTTAAATGAATTTAATTTGAATAAAACAATTTAAGCAAATAAAATGTAATTTGGCTATAAAGCTTGCAAATTGATTGATTTTTCTTTTAATCAATTAAAAGAGAAATAGTTTTAAGAAAGACCATTTTTGTGTTTGCTGGAGTTTATATTAAATGTTCATTTTACATAATTAAATGATACTCTATCAATTAAATGGTACGGTCACCAATGATCACATTGGCTCTTTTTGAATTCATTTAACATATATTGATAAAAAAATATTTTTAGTTAAAATTTATATTTGTTCCCTAAAAAAAAAAATTTAATATTGTTTTTAGCTCAAGAACTTGACAAAGCAGGAACACCATTACAAAATTCTGAAAAAAAGAACAAAGAACTTAAAGTTCTTTTAGACGACAAATGTTATTACAAACTTGGGACAAATTCATGTTTTTCAACTTATGTAAATCAATATTCAAGTAGTATGATGGCCAAAGGCAAGCAAGACTTACAAGCTGAAAAAGATAAAAGAAGAATTTTAGGCAACAAATTTTGTCTTAATGCTTTTAAATGGTATGGAGATTGTCAAAAAGGATATGCTTCTATTATAAGCACATTACGCAGTACCTTGTTATCATTTGAAAGTTCGATACCAACAGCTTTTCTTCATCCTTCCTGGTATGTGCTGCTTCCATGCTGGATTAAAGCTGTGCGTTTATGTAACACACCAAAGGAGTTTGCAGTTTTACTTTTACTTTTAGAGGAGATGATAAAACCAGTCATTATGGTAAATACATGGAAAGAATCATCTGGTGCACTCAAATTGCAAAGAAAGGTTGGAGAACCAAAAGCTGTTAAGCTTAAGCCTTCCTCAAATAAAAAAGTAGAAAAAGATACTCAGTTTCTTTCAATTGATGTTGAAGATTCTGACAGTGAAGATGAGTTATTTAAACCAACCTGTAAGTTATATTGTGTAAATATATATCATTATGAAGGTAATTTGTTCATAAACCATCATGTAAGTAATATTAATTTAAGCTTATCTATTTATATGATTATACATAGATATATACATACACACACAACCCTTGTAATTAGGGTTGGTATTGCCGAATGCCGAAAAGTGTTTGAGGTCGGCAAAAAATTGCTGATCTCGTTTCTATGTTTATATATATTATACATTTATAGATAGATAAATCTCGGCAGGAATGGCGGGCAATCGACCGTACCCACTTCCACATCTGTGTAAGTCAATTGACGCTGGCGAAATAAAGCTCATGCAAATATACAATTATTTTTTTTAAACAGAAAAATTTATGTTTTTTAGGTTAAAGAACATTAAATTTTAAAGTGAAAAACATCTAGAGTATTTAAAATAAAATATCGCTTTATAATATATTTTCTGGTCGCCATATTTATTTAACTTATGTCACCAAAAAGAATCAAAATATAGGGAAACCATTAAATAGTGATGTTACTGTTTTTATATAATTAATTGTTTGTAATTAAAGCAGAAGATGTAGTTGTACTATGATGATGCAGTAAGCTGAAGATGTAGAATTAGTAACTAGTATAAAAATCTATCGAAAGTTTTTAAAATGATAAAAAGTTTGTATTGAGAGAACTCATATTTATTTATGTTCCTATATTAATTATAGTCTTCTCTGTTTAGCCAGCGCTGTCACGCTCAAGCATTTTTGCGTTTGCCCACATACCGAAAAAGCATTTGCAAATTTTTTTATTAAGAATTTTGATAAAACATTCACTTTGCCTTTTTTATTATCATTAATTTTATTTAGAATTTAAATAAAACATTTGTCTTTCAATTTTTATTTTCATTATGTTGTTTAATATTAAAAATTTTTTTTTTTTTTTTGTTGCTATTTTTATTTAATTAATTTATCTTATCAGCGACGTATCCAGGCCGATTTTGATACCGGTATACCGGTATGGGCCCCCAAATTTCAGCCCAAACTCAATTCAAAACAGTTTTATATAAGCATTTGTTACGATCACAGAAATACCAACATTTGAAAAATGACTTTTAAAATACATTATAAATGTATTTTATTAAGCCAAACAAAATGCTTAATTCGAATTCATGTTGATGAAATATAGAATATGTTGTAATTGGATTAAATGTAAAACGCACGTTTTGATTGGATTAAAATATGAAATGCTTAGCATTTTTAAATAACATTTTAAAAATACATTAATTTGAGTTTCTCCTCCGCTTGCGTTTTCATAACATAATTTTCGAAGCGATTAAACTACATGAACTTTAAACTTTTTTATTTCAAATAACAGTAAAAATTGTATTAAAAATATAATAATAAAACTAATGAAAGTTTTTAAAACATAAAATTAAATAACATTTATTTAAATAATTAAAATAATATTTTAATATTCGCTCCAAAAAACTTGATCTGAATAGTAATAGTAGAACTAGAAAAAAAAAAGTTAAAATTAATCAAATTAAAAGTTTAAATTAAAATTAATTTTTGAATCAAGTAATAAAAATATCAAATGAAAATGTTGGATTTAAAGCTGTTCTGTAATAAATGTAACATTATTTTGGTTAATTATTTAAATTTTTGTTAGAAAAAACCTAAAAGACTAGGGTGAGTTATATATTATATACAAATAATTCTATTTAAATTTGAGTAAAAAAAAAAGGTCCTCTAAGGTAAACAGGATTTTTAGACCGGTATACCCAAAAAATTTCTAGATACGTCACTGCTTATTTTTCATCCCAAAAATTATTTTCATATTTATTTAATAATTTTATATTTATATAAAATGTTTCTTTTTTTGTTGTTGTTGCTGTTTTTTAAATAAATATCTAGCCAAGTAGTAGCAAGATTGTTAATTGGATATTTATTATTTCACATTGTTTTTAAAATAAATTATATCCATAAATAATAATATTAACCATTTTTATATAAATTTTTAGCAGGTGTTCCAGTTAAATTTAGTTGGCCTCCTAAGCACAAACTTTGGGAAGTAAAAGGCGAGGAGTACAGAATAAAAGGTTACGGTGCATGGTGTTGGGAAACTTCATACTTTCGAGGAGTTAAAAGGAAATCTTTTGATGATCAGAAAAAAGTTGTTAATAAGAAACAAAAAATAGAAAGTGTATTGAGAAAAGTTAAGCATAAAAAAGGAACACAGTTTGTCAAAAAGGATGCTTTGAATGTAATAGAAAGCCTTCCATCTGAGTTTGATAAACGAGATGAGCATATTGATACTTTTAGATTATTGAAGGAAGATGACATTTATGAAGATGATGAACCACCTACTAGCCCCTTGATTTTAATTAAATCTGCAAATCCATACCCATTATCAGTCGAAAATAAAACCTTGGAATTAAAATTTGGAGATTTAAATTGGACGGATGAAACAGAAATGGAAATAGTACAAGCTAGTTTAGATATTCCTCAAACACTTAATGCAAATATCTCATTTAATCATATAACGCAGGCAAGTAAGTTGCATATGTCAGATCAAACTTTGTTCAATGAGAAAACTTCAGTAATTAAGGTAGTTTCTCCTGTTATGAAATCCTCTATAACTGAGCATGAGACTTTTGATGTAAAAAATTCAACGATATTTGATTTAAAAGAAGCATCAATACCAAGTTTTCCAGCTTCAAGTGTTTTTGCTGCAAGTGGTCTTACTTCAAACATTCTGGCACAAACTGTTTTAGATACAAATGGTTTAGCATCTAATGTTTTAGCCGGCAATGGTTATACCGCTAGTGAGTTAGCTCCGTGTGTTTTAGTTTCGAGCAGTTTAGCTTCAAGTGTTCTAACTTCAAGTGATCCTAAAAATAATTTTTTAAATTCTGGTGTTGGTTTATTTTCAACTGATATTGCAGTACCAATATCTGAAAGTATTCCAAGTTTTGATCCTTCAATAATTACAAAACCTTTTGATACAAATGAAAATAAAGTTTTAATTCAAAAAAAAGTTAACAAAAATAATGTTGTTGAAGATTTTGTATTGTCATCTGTCCACTCTGGAAATGCAACATCAGTACAATCAAGTTCATATTCTTTATTAACGTCTTCATTCCCTATTTCAAAAATTTCTCTAATTAATAATCCCACGCTACTATCAGAATCTGTTCATTCAGTAGCTGGTTCATTTAGTGTATTAAAAAACTTAGTACAACCTGCTTTTTTAAAAGATATGGGTAATATATCAGTAGATTCATCTCCTAAAGTAACTGCAAAGCCTACTGTTTTTAATATGAGTTCAATTTCAACTGCAATATCACAAAGCAAATCTCAGCAATCAGTAATGAACAATAGATCTTTTATAAATAATTCTTCATCAAGTTCCTTAAATGTTCTTCACAACTTTTCTCCTCATTTATTGCAATCAAAACCTGCTGCTTCAGTTTCTTTTCCAGTCTGTGATAAACCAGTGTACATATCTGGACCCAGGCTTTTATCAACTTTAAATAATGGAAATCTTTCTATACAGGCCAACCAATTTCTTACAGTATCCCCTAAAGTTCAGTTACCCGTAATGAATCATTGTGGATTATCTCAATTCAAATTGCCAACTTCCTCAAGCAATCATGTCAGTGATGTTTTTTCGAAAACTTCTATGTCTTTTACATTTGTTTCTTCAGTAACTACTTCAAATAAATTACCTTCTATAGTCTCGTCAGCAACTGTAATAAACAAACAACCTATTGTCATTAATGGAGAGAACAACATTCCGTTATTAAAAGCACTAGTTGATGCTGGCATAAGCAATCAAGCAGGTGGGATAATGGCAATTAAAACTAGTACAGGTCATTTTATTATTAGAACAAGAAATAAAGGGAATTTCAATTTAGAATCAAGCAATATAACATCTAATTCATCTGGTATATCTATCACACGCATGTCTTCACCTAGTGGTTTAAATATATTAACAAGTAAGCAAACAGGTATGACTCCAGTAAGGCCAAAGTCTCAAGTTCTTTCTCCACAAGTTGTTAGCTTAACAAAGTTCCAAACAACTGTTTCTAATTCATTAATACAACCTATCCATCCTAAAGTGCCAGCTTCAACTGTGTCGTTAAGTAATCCTACTTCATCAGATAATACTTCAGTAAATGTTCAAAAAAAGATTTTAATAAAAAATATAGACTCTGGAAAACTTAATTATAATGAAGAATTTTATAACAAAAATCATGACAGGATGAAACCATTAAGAGTAAATTTTGATAAGCCTGAACTTCTTTTGCAGCACGAAATAAAGCGTTTACAACGTCGTAGAAAAGGTTTTAAAAGTATTTTTACACTTCCTAAGCACTTGGTTAAAATGTTAGCACGTAAAGGAGGTTTTATTGAATCTCCTCAATTCTTATATAACTCAAAAACATGTACAAACTGGCCTGAATGCTTACCTCGGCCAACATTTCAAGTTGCGTGGAGATATCGTTTAGCAGAAGCTAATCACATATCCACAGTATTACATTTGTTACGAATGATTCATTGTTGTTTCAAGTGGGATATTATTAATAATAAACCACCTAAGGGTGTTAACAGATCGATTACTTCTAACAAAGGTTAGTTTTTTACTTAATCTTATAAATTCTGGTTTAGCTGAACATGAAATATAGTTGATGACATTTTACTAAAATAAGGTTTATTATTGAGCTTTTTGGGTAGGCAATTTCCTATAATAATGAAGGACATTATTATAGGGAAAAAAAACTTTTTTTCATTATTCATCTTTGTTTAAAAAATTATCTGGAATTAATGTAGTTCTTCATTTTTTCTTTCGTTTTGTTGGTAGTACAAATATATTTTGCTTGGTTTCAGGAATTTTTTCAAACAAAGAAGAATAAAAAAGAAAATTTTTTGGCAGGCTATTAAATTTTTTTTTTATATTTATGAACGTTAAAAGAACGTTAATAAATATATATATATAAAAAAGCGTATTATATCTGAAATAAAAAGTTTTTTTTCTAGGCATTATTACAATAGAGATAGTTGAGGGTAAACCTGCTCGAAGTGATGGTTTAATGTATAATTATAATGTGCGTAAAATGTACCAACCCTTCAAAACACACAAAAAAGTTAAACTAGAAAAACCATTACCAAAAATTGAAGTTGATACTACTCCAAAATCTAGAAGTTCAGCCACAGGTATGTTTTTTAAATTATTTAACCCTATATTATCTTTGTGAACTTTTCCTAAAGTTAGTAAATATCTAGTCAATTGTGTTGAGGTGCTTTCAATCTCCAATCTTTTTTTTTTTTTTTATCACAAGATATCTAAGTTTTAAATTTTTATAATTTATGTTTATAAAGTGTTTTATAAAAATCTACAAACAATAGCTTGATTTATTGATATATAAAAAAAATAGCTTGATTTATTGATATATTGATATACATGCTTAAATATTATGCCATTACGGAAAGGTGTATTTCTTAAGGCAGCCTTAACCTCCCCCTCCCCTCATAAAGAGATCAAAACTGGTACCTCAATATTGATATTTATACATCACTTAGTTTGTGTTTACCTTATTTGGTTTTATGCGAAGATAAAAAATTCAAATAGCATCTCGTTATAAAATGAAATTTTTTGAAGTTGATGTAAGCCTATGCTACCTTAGTTACCCTGCAAAAAATTAATTATTTAAGGTTTTAATAAATGTTTAAGTAGTACATTGTTGGTAAAAATTTATTGAAAATTGTTTAAAGTATAAACATTTAGTAACATTTTAGTAATTTTAGTTTCAGTAGTTATTAGATGTTTAAATTACTTTAAAGAATTTTTTAATCAATATTAATAAATAGTATAGTATGTGCAAAATAAAGTAATTAAAGTTATTAAACGCTTATGTTTTGTATTCGAAAATTTTTTGTCTATAATATATTATTTGAATACAAAACAAAGGTATTTAATAATTTTACTTAAATTTTCATTTAGATTTAAATTCTGTTCATTTAATATTTACTAATTGTTAATAATTTTCACAGTGCTTTATGGTGTCCTTTAAATGAAAAAGGTACAATGAACTTAGGGGCTGTCCTAAAATAATACCAGTAATTTTTTCTGTTTTTTATCCCTCCTGGGAGAGGGAGCTCCCCCTTAGTTTTAAATTATTTAACCCTATATTATCTTTGTGAACTTTTCCTAAAGTTAGTAAATATCTAGTCAATTGTGTTAAGGTGCTTTCAATCTGCAATCTTTTTTTTTTTTTTTTTTTTTTTTTTACCATTTTTTGACATCTTATTCCCAAATAAAAATGACAGAACTCTGCATCTCTGGTCTTGATACTGGAAGTTAAAATCTGGTAGATGATATGAGATCTCCCATAGATTCTTGCAACTGTATTTTAATGAAGTCCTAAGATTTATTTTAAAGGGGCAAAAACCTTTTTATGTAAGTGAATTTTGCAATAGGGAAGAGTGGTGTACCTTGGAGGTATTTTCAAATTTTTTTCAAATATAAGAAAAAATACTTACAATATGATCTAAAACAATATATTTTCTTTAACTTGATGATATTAGTTACTTTAGGATTTTTTATTAAACATCCAGACATTTTTTTCATCCCTTATTTTAATTTTTAAAAATAGCTTACACTACAGCCAAGGTACAACATCGGTGGTGTACCTTGGAGGTATTATTGTTTTAACAAACTAAGTACTCAACATGATAGAAATTTGATATAATGTTTACATATATGATAATTAGACTTCACATGAGCCTCATTTAAGATAATATTAATCAAACTAGTTGAATTTATATAAACTGGATACTAATTTATATTGCTATATGTGATTATAAATTTAAATTAATTAGAAGTACTAAAAATGTACATAAGAAATAAAGCTTATTAAAAAAAGAGTAATAACAAAATTATACATTAAAGTTCAGTAAATTAAAGTCTTTCACTTTGATTTAGTATTTGACTACTCTACATTTAGGTTATCAAAGTTAATGCCAAATGATAATTTTTCCAGCTGTCGTGCTGAACCTTCTGTAATAGAGGGATGCGGCAACTGAAAGACCATGCCTGATTTGTCTAATTCATACACAGTTTTATCTTCTCTAGTAAATCTTTCTGAGTTTGTGCCTTTTTTTAAGTACTGAATTTTGAAAAACGTATCAGAAACTTCTAGCACCTCTGCTACAAAGTTTTTTACAGCACGTTTGCCATGAATTTGTGCCAAGATAAAAACTCCAGGCTGGATTTTTTTAAAATCTGAATCTTTCATAACCTCGAAGTCTACTTCTGACTGAGAAGACCTTTTATCTGATACTAAATCTACATTTTTCTCTAATTCTGTACTTTGCTCCAAGGTAAAGTTCAGCTTTTTTTTCAGAACAGGTTCCGGTTGTTTATTATCAGTTTTACGTTTCATTTTATTGCAAGATTTTGAAGTGTTACAGGGCTGGAAGTTAAAATGCAAGACTTTTTCTTAGGACGACCTTTTCCAGTTTGTTTGAGCTTTTGGGTAAGGTAGAATAATATCAGGAGATAAAATGTTAGCGTTGATCTGGTTTGCAAAAGAAGCCAGACTGCAGCTAGTTACCTCAGTATTGGTTTAGGGCCCAGGTCTGCTCAAAAAGTCTTCAATATGCTTACTTTTGTTTCCAGGCTGGTCTTCAGACACAGGTTGTGGTTGATCTTTTATAGTGGATGGCAAGAACTCATAATCTTTAAAAATGTTTTTATTCAGTGGATGAAGGCCACTTACTAGAAAACTGTGTGCAATGTCGCTTGGTGTAAAAGCTAAGGGAAAAGCTTGTCCAATAATTTCTGATAAATCATAGATTGTGGCTGGTTTCCCAGTATTGCTTGGTTTTAACATCCAATCCTCCATTTTATTGTTGTAATATGTCTTAAATGGACCAAATACGCCTCTGTCTAAGGGTTGCATTTTATGACTAGTGTGTGGATGAAATGTTACCAATGTAATCCCATTATATTTTGCTAGCTGGATTGTTGGTATTGAGATATGACTCGTGGTTGTCAAGTAAAAAAATAGAAGGATTTTCCTTACTTGAACAAGTGTGCTTTACAAAATGCTACATAAATCCTAGAAACAAGTCTTCACTTGACCATCCTGATGGGTTTGCTCCACCAAGTGTACCTTCTGGGGCCCCTTTTAACATAAAGTCCTTAAACTTCTTACGAGGGAAAATCAACATTGGAGGCATATAGCCACCACCAGCATTTATTGCTCCAATCATTGTTGTACTATATCCTCGTTCACCACTAGTCATTACACCAACCTGCTTTTGACCTTTTTTTGCTAAGATTTAAGGAGGATTGTGGACAGTGCTAACACTGGTTTCGTCAACATTCCATATGTTAAATGCTGTAATACCTTGATTTTGTTCAAGCCCAAGAGCTACTTCATAATTTTGAAAGTAAGTGCTATATTTTGTCTATTAAAAGCAGTTGAGCAGGCCAGACTTGTTGCCTCAGGCTTTCTAAGTGATAATTCTTTAGAATATTTTTTTCGGAAGATTTTTAGCTACTCTTTTCCAGCCATCTGGTTTCTATCCCAAGATGCATCATACTTTTTTTGATTTGCTTTCCCAAATCGGTAAACCAGTTTTCTAACATCTTTCAAAGTCAGTCCATAATGAAAATCAGCAGCTTTCAATATGTAATCAACTAGAAGTTTATCTTCTTTTACGGTGAAGACTTGTTTAATGTTTTTTTTTTTTTTTTGTAACAAAATATTTCTAAACCTGATTCAAGGAATTTGTGTTTCTGTGTCTTCTTAAGGTTGTTTCAGGAATGTCAAAGTCCATAAAAGCTCTGTATATAGACAGTTCATTGTTCACTATAAGTTTTACAGCTCTTTCTAGGTCTTCTTTTCGTATAGGTTTTCTTTTAAATCCATTTTTATTTCTAGGCATTTTATTTATTTTTTGTTTTTCTAAAAATAAATTAAAAGCATTAAAAACTATAAAATATCTGTACAATTTATTTTTCATAAAATGAAAAGTCATAAAAAACATCATTAAAAAAAAAAAATTAACTATAACGACATATTACATTAAATAAATATTTTCATAACAAACTTACTCATAATAGTATTTACAAAATCATGCAAGTGTGTACCTTGATGATACCACCAAGATACACAACATTAGCTGCCTCCTAGGTACACCGCTACCACAGTTTTTACAAAATCGCTACCATATATTTATAGGTTAGGAGTTGAGCAGTTTCAAACATGCATAAATGTAGCTAAAAACATGCTTTACAAATTCTGATAATCAGTTTTAATATAAAGTTTATACTTACAGTTGTAAAAAAAAAAAAGAATACGCCCTAAAAAAATTACTTTTTGGTACTGAAAACAAACTTTTATTTGTATTGCAACAGCAAGTGTGTTAAGCAGTAGTAAAACAACTTATTTTAAGCCTTTAATGACCAATACATGCAACTAAAATTTCAGTTTGAATTTATCACTCAATATGGCAGCACAATTGATATGCCTCCAAGGTACAAACCCCTCCAAGGTACCTCCCCTACATTTCTAATATCTTTACTGCCCTTTTAAAATATATTAATCTAGGTATTTAATTAAGAGAACAAACTGCACCTGTAAAGTATATAATTCTATTTATTTAACTTAGATAACAAATTGCACCTTTATCTAATGTATATTATTCTAGGTATTTAACAATGAACGAACTGAACCTTCAAAAAATATTATTCTAGGTATTCAACTAAGAGAATGAACTGCCTTTTTAAAATTTATTATTCTAGGTATTTAACTAAAAAAGCAAACTGTCTATTAAAATATATTATTGTAGGTATTTAACTAAGAAAGCAAAATGTCCATCAAAATATTATTATAGGTATTTAAATAAGAGAATGAACTGCACCTTTAAAATATATTATTCTAGGTATTTAACTAAGAAAGCAAACTGTCCATCAAAGTATATATCAAAATATGTATTTAACAAAGAAAAGGAACTGCACCTTTAAAATATATTATTGTATGTATTTAACTAGGAAAGCAAACTGTCCATTAAAATATATTGTTCTAGATATTTAATTAAGAAAATGAACTGCACTTTTAAAATATTTTATTCTAGGTATTCAACTAAGAGAACGAACTGCACCTTTAAAATATACAATTGATAATGACTTTAACTCTAGTTCAAGTGAAGATGATGACAATGGTGTTCCCTTTCCTAAAGAGCGTACAATTACTCACAGCTGGCATCCAGAGGTAATTTATACTTTTTTAATAATGTTTATTTTCAATTCATCGTTATCTTTAACATTATCATTATTGTCATCCATGCTTTCCTCCAGAGTGTTAGGCAAGTTGTTCATAAGCAATTAGTTATTTTATAATTAATTATTGTTGCATTAAATATATTTTTTATTTGGTTATAAAAATTTATTCTTAGCTAGTTATAAAAATTTAAGGACAAGTAAAAATTAACTCCATATAAACTAAAAATATATTTTGTAAGGATAACCTTTAAAATAAAAAAAAATAAAAAAACTCCAAGTTACATAAAAATATTTAATTAACAATATTTACTTGTTATTAAATTATTTGATGATACTATAACTTTTAACACTAAATTTAGATGACCAGTGTCATATAAATTCAATTTTAATAGCAATAGTTTCCTTAAATAATTGAATAACAATATTTAATTATTTAAGGACATTATTGATTTATTAATTAAATAAATAACTGGTTGATGTAATGATTCATAGATGAATCATTGCATCAACTATCATTAAACCATCATGAGTAATACAATTTTTTCTAATATTCTTAAAAATAATCTTAAATAAAATGATCTTAAATAAAGTCTAAAAAAATGTTTTTTTGTGAGATGAATTTGAACAAAACACATGCAAATATATTTATTATCAATGTTAATTTTTTTTAACAAAAATATATTGATGCAATTTTTAAAAATCAGCATTGCAGAAATAATCAGGCAAAACTTAAGCAAAAGAGAAGGGGTGTTAAAAGTGAGATAGTATATATGATGGCAATGAGTAAAGTATGTAAAAATATATAAAAGTATATAACTAGGAATACATGGTAATTTTATGATATATATACTCAGAAGTGGTTTTGATATATATTTTCAGCATAACTTAATATTTTAATTTTTATTATTCACAATTTGGAATAAAAATAAGTTACGTTTTCGTCTTTTTTATAAAAGAAAAGTTTTTAACTATTAGAACTTCAAAAAAAATTAAATAAACATAATAATTTTGACCATTATTGAAATAAATTTTGACAAAAAATAACTTGTGTATATGAAAATAACTTTGATCATTATATATGACAATTTTAGCATGAATTAGACTTATGGGAAATTCGTCAATTTTGGGAACGTGTTGAGAATGAAAGAAATTTAAAACGACAACATGGTTCTTCCATTGTTGTTAATCAAAGTCTAAAACAAAAGGTAATTGATGTTGAAAAACAACATGAAGATGAAAAAGAAAGTACAAAATGGTCGCCAACATTATTGCAAAAAACTCCTATAAGTATAAAGGTAATGTTATAATATTCAATTTTTAAGATTTTTTATAATTTAGACACAAATTGTTAATTGATAAAAGCTTTAATGAAATTTTTTAGTCATTATCTCCTATAAGACCAGCAGTTTTAACTTCAAGCAACAGTACTCAAACCAATTTCCCGAAAGAAGTATCAATAGCTGGTATGAAAGCGATGCAAAGTACACTTATTAATAAATATTTATCCACTCAAAGCAATCGTTTGGTTATCAAAACTCATGAGAAATCACCTGTATCATTATTAAAACATAGTCCATGTAAGTAATGTTTATAACTATTAACCAGTTAATCGATTTTTATAAACATTAACCATGTAAGTGATGTTTTCAAACATTAAACAGTTTATAGAGTTTGTGATTTTTAATACCTTTTTTAATTTTTAGCCATGCCAAAGAAAGCACAGCAACCAATAATTCGTGCAAAAATTGTGACTGAACCAGAGTAAAAAATTTTTTTAATTTAGTTTTTTACTGTTGTAATTGAAAAAACTTAAAGTTTAAATATGTTATAGAAAAGTATACATAATACTTATTTTGTCTGTTATAGTTATGTAATTGCAAAAACTGTTTTGGATGGTATTGTTAGAAAAATTGAAGTTCAAGAACGAAAAGAAAAACGAAAACATGAAAAGCTTATGTCAATTATTAACAAACAACGTGCACAAGAGTTTGCCAGACTACAATCTAATCTTATGATAAAACGTAATAATTTGCGACTTGAGGTAATGAGAAAGCGTGAAATATTAGAAGAATTATTAATTCAAGAAGTGGAGAAAGAACTTTTCCCAGAACTTGCATATATACTAAATTTAGAAAAGGTTTTCATTATGTACTTGTAAATAAGAAATTTTCAATTTAAAAATTTTTAGTTTAGTTTCAATTTTTAGTTTCTTTTATACTTTTCTTTTTTCAAATTAATATTTTTTATTTTAGCCTTTTGAAGAAGAAGAAGAAGAAATACTTATTGACAGTCCTGTCAAAGTTAAAAAAACTGTTGAACGTAAGCGAAAAGTCTCTGAGGTTGTAGAAGTTGTAGATGTGGTTAAAAAAAAAAGGACATCAATTGATACAAAACCAGACTTGTATTGTGTTTGTAGAACACCCTATGATGAGACGCAGTAAGTATTTATTATTTTTGTAGAACACCTTATGATAAGATACAGTGAGTATTTATTGTGTTTGTAGAATACCCTACGACAAGGCACAGTGAGTATTTATTTAACACTATGATAGAAAGTGGATTTAAAAAGAAACTGTTATTTTAAACTTAATTGTGACACACAGTTGTCCAAAATAAGAAATAATTACTTTGGCTTGACTCGAGAATGCCACCTGTCCTGGGTGAATCTACATGGTCCACAGATTCAAAATATATAAATATTGAAATCTAGTCACAACGTCCGAGCGAAAAAAATCACTTTGAATTTTTTACCCTTTTTGCACATGCTCATGAGATGACAGCATTCACAAAATTGTGGATTTTTACAGCATACAAAATTAGTTGAACAGAAAACAACGGGTACTGATGATAGATATTTACTTTTTCAAACTATATTTTGTAAATTATAAGTTTATAAAAATATATTAACATAGAACCAGCAATATTTATTCTTTTTGTTATGTTTAGCATCATCTTGTTATAATGATTGTGCCTACCATCTTAATGATCATTAAAACTGAAGAACCCTATTTTGACATCCACAAACGTTTGTTTTTGCTTTGTTTTACTAAAAAAACAGAAAAAATCATTCTAGGACTTCAGAAGTTGAAAAAATCATTCTTTGACTTTATAAGTAGAAAACAAGGTATTATTGCCTCAAAAGATCAGAGGTAAGATTTATTTGAGTTGTTTTCCTTGCATTCTGAATTGAAAAAAGTTTGCACAAATTTTGAACATATGAACAATAAACTGAATAATATATCACTTCAAGATAATCATTTAATGATTTGAAGTCAATAATACTCTAAGTAAATACCAAAAATAGTCATTAGAATTCTGTGTAATTAATATTTGATATTGTTTTAAAGCTTTTCCCACATTCTCTGCACTTTTATGTAAAACAAACTTTATTTTATCGTGTATTTGCTACTTTTCAGTAAACAATACTCCTATTTGAAATGATATCTTTCTGATATTTCAGTGAATGTTAACTATGCCTAACCAAGCTAAAGATCATGAAGCAAATCGAAACACTGTTTGCTTGCTGTGCTTTCAAAAAGCAACAAGTCAAATTACAACCTTTCAAGAAGAAAGAATTCGTCAGATTTACCAACATCAGATAAACTACCAAGACCCTCGTGTTCCCCAAGGATTGTGTGAAGCTTGCCGTTCACTCTTGAGATGAAAAGATGAAGGAAAAGATGTCAGCTTTCTTGACCTGTTTGATTTCTTGACAATCTACATGAAAACAAAAACCAGAACAGCTGGTCAAGAATGCTCATGCCTGATTTGTCACATAGGAGGTTTGAGGCACAATCAAAAAAGTCCTATGGTCAACCATGAAGCGCAAGCAAGAGTTCCTCTGTGTTGTGCAACATGTCTTAGTCCTATTAGAAAAGGACTTCCACACAACTGCAATAGATTTACATTTTGCAAAAACTTGTAAAAGTTGGCCAGTGCTGATCTCAGCGCTTCTGAACAGATTGCTTCGGATGTTCCAAAAATGCCTCTCCAAAAGGAACCATTAGGCTAGCTCAACCAGGTGGGGGTCGCCCTTACTCTTTCACCCCAGGTAATAAAACCTTAAGTTAAATATTTAAACTATCATCGCTTTCTTTTCAACCAATTAAATATTTATTCTTTATTAACAGGCCCAAATCAAGTGAATTCAGTTGCTTCGTCTTGTAAGACGAAGTCTTACAACAAATGATCTTGTAAAAGTCTTACAACAAATGATCTTGTAAAAGTTCAACTCAATACTGGCTTGTCGAATCATGAAGTAAAGAAATTAGCAATGATGTTGAACCAAACATCTGCTCAGAAGATAATCGAGCGACTTTTCCGTGCAAAGTTCCAAGAAGCTGGGCAGATGCTATTTGAATTTTTCACTCACTCGGTTCTTGTAGATGCTAAAGAACCGAGACAAGGGTTGTCTGACATATCAAAGACTGTAATGCACTGCAAAAACCTCGCCGATCTTTTGAATGAAGTACTCAAACATCGAGATATAGATGACAACCTTGTCAAACTTGGGATATGAAGCTAGCCAACATTTTGGTTGGTCTCCAGTCGCATGCAAGTACCCACTAATTTACATGGTGTGATGCAAAATCCACCAATCTGAATTGCTCAGGGAGACTGAGGACTATCGGCTCATTGAAGGAGAGTTTCCAAAATTTGAAAAAATCGGGAAAGGTCACCACAAAAGCGAAACTGTTTGGCAATGTCATTCATGAGCCGGTCTTCAGCGGAAAAAATGACATCGTCATCATCGACATTATTCCACCAATGGAATTGTACCTTTTGTTGGGAGTGGTAAACCTGGTCTTCAAAATAATCAAAGATGTGTAGCCAGATGTTGAAAAATGGCCTTCTTCTCTGCATATCCAAATTGAGCCTTATCACGGCAGACAGTTTGTCGGAAATGACTGTCAAAAACTTCTGAAGAACACTGACAAGCTTCAGCAGCTTGCAGAGGTTGGCTCAGCTTTCCAAGTTTTTCCCTTCATCGCTGTGCTTCGAAGATTCAATGCTGTTGTCCAAGCATGCTTTGGCATGAATCTGGATGTCTTTTGAGTTTCCAAGAGGCATTCCTGGCATTACCTCAAACATGCGTCACTCCAAAAGTGCACTGTGCATTTTATCACATCCAAGATTTTATTGAGTGGCACAAAGCACCTTTGGGTGCATTCAGTGAACAGAGTGTGGAGTCACTTCATCATGATTTCTCACTTCACTGGAATCGATTCAAGAGGCCATCAAATCATCTAGAGTATGCTAGCCGACTCAAAAACTGCATTGTGGATTACAATAGCAAACGTTTATGCGTTCAGAGTTAGATGGGTTTGTCAAAATTTTAAAATTTAAAGCATACAGTTTTCATGGAATTTAAACATATTTGTGCTAATTAGAATTAAGAACCTGGCATAGTTTTTCATTTTGTTGTTGTTTTTGCCCATAAATTATGAATAAAGAGATAACAAGAAATGATGTGGATAATTAAATAATTCTATGTTTGGGTTGAATTATTTCTAAAACATAAAAAGTATTCTTTTGAGGTCTATCTGTGTCAAACAAAATTAAAATAATACATGGATTTTTTTTAATTGATAATTTAATTATTGTATGCTGTAAAAATGCACAATTTTGTGAATGCTGTCATCTCATGAGCATGTGCAAAAAGGGTAAAAAATTCAAAGTGATTTTTTTTGCTCGAACGTTGTAACTAGATTTCAATATTTATATATCTTGAATCTGTGGACCATGTAGATTCACCCAGGACATGTGGCATTCTCGGGTCAAGCCAAAGTAATTATTTTCTATCTTGGACAACTGTGGACAGAGAACAAAAAACATTAACTTGTTTTCTTTTTCATAAAAATGAGCATTTTTTGATTGATATATTCAGGAAGTTTTAGACTATAGTGAGTTATATTTTGAACTTTTGATTAGTTTCATTCATAGTTTTCATTTTCAATTGTAAATCAGAGAGAAAATACTTTAATAAAATAAAGTATTTATCATAATTTTAGGTGATAAAGAAACTCAAGGAAAATTTTTAAAAAAGTTTTGTAAACAGTCTTTAACCTAATATTGCATAATGTTGCCAAATGGCAACATATCAGTCAAAAACAGATATCTCCTTTTATTTTAATATAATTTCAGCTTTGTAGCGGTTTCTCTTTGGTTTAAGTCACAAAAAGTATATTCTAGGGTAGTTTACAAAAAGTATATTCTAGGGTAGTTTTTTATATAATAAATCATTAAATATGTTTCTTTAACCCTTCAGTACGATCATTGGTTATCAAATAGCTTATCTACTAAGTATTGATTCCTATTAATTTCATTTTTATAAAAGCATTCAATTTCCATTTTTAATTTAAATTTCCAATTTAAGTTTTAAAACACACACATTATTGGCATCTTTTAAGTTAATAAAAAACAACTATATTGAGGTACTTTTTTTATATATATAAAAAACTGAATATATATTTAAAAATGAAGTTATTAAATGAATTTCTGTCAGTTTAGAAAAATTCAATTTGTTAAAAAATCTGGATGATTAAAAAGATATTATAATTATCAACCAGAACTTTCCTAAGGTTTAGTTTTAGCTTTCAATATATAACTTTTTATATATTTGTTATTGAAGTTTCATTGACCATAAATTGATTTAAACTTATAGAAGTAATTTTTGATGCTTTTAAATGAAAGTCATAAAATTTGTTAGAAAACTCGGTACCACAATACTTGCAAAACTAAATTTGATATAAATAAATAAAATTAATCATAGAGTTGTTTATAAATAATCATAGTGTTTGAAAAAAACATTTAATTATGATCAATTTTTTAGATTTTATGTGGGATGTGACTTATGCAATGGTTGGTTTCATGGTTCCTGTATCGGTATTACAGAAGAAGAAGCTGAAAGTATTGATGAATATATATGTGAAGAATGCAATAAAGAGAAAGTGGTTGTAGAAGAAGGGGAACTATATTGCATTTGCAGACAACCTTATGATGAAAGCAAGTCAGTAAAATGTGTTTAGTTTTAAACCATAATTTATTAAATCAATAATTATTTTATGTTTTTGTTTTCTGAGTTTTCACTATTAAATTAACATTTCAACAAGGCATTAACTAAAAATTATTTACAAAAAAACTTTACTAAAAAAGTCACAATTTAGTTAAGTATAAAATTTTCAAATCATGTCAAAGCATGCTTTGTTTATATGTGACAAAAATACTTTTTGTAATAGCAAATTTGTTTTAATTAGAAGTTTTAATAAATAATATGCCAAGTACTAAAAAATTTGCTTGTAATCTGTAAATTGTAATTTGCTTGCAAAAAAAGAAGTTGATTTAATACATAAACACAAGGTACTCTAGTTCTGGAAAAATAAAGTTCAATCCAATAATTCTTGAAGACAAAGATTATAACATTTATAACATTAATTTTTGGTTTAATAAAACCTTTTGTAAATGAGATAACTAGTTGCTCTGACTGGAGATAGTGTTAATGTTAAAAATAATGAAGCAACAAGGATTCTGTTTAGAACTAAATAGTAAAAATAGTATCACAAAATATTTTGGCAGAAAGTTAATTGCAATGAATGATCAACTGATGATGGTATTTAGAGAAATTGGTAGAGGTCATAAAGCTATCTTTTACTTTTTAAATATGTTACCTCCTATTTCTTTAAAAGCCTACAACATTATTATTAATATTTTGTATGGTATATATTTTAGTGTTTGTAAAGTATCTATGACTAAAGTAGCCATGGAAACAGCAAGATTAAGGGAACAGAAATGTAAAGAAACAATGATCTGTACAGTTTCTGTTGATGGTTTATGGCAGATGAGAGGATCTGTTATATATGAACTGGAAACTCAATCATATTTACCAAGCAAATTATACAGGTAGCTCTGGATCTATGGAAGCTATTGGGGCTGTTAAAATGTTTTCTTGTTCCATTTCTGAAAATAATATTATGAATACATTGGTGATGGTGATACTAAATTATTCAATCAAGTAGTCTAAACCTTATGGAGAGATTCCGATTGGTAAGCCAGAATGTATTAGACACATTCAAAAATGTGTACTCATTGCAGAAATATCGTCAAACTTATAAAAATAAAAAGTTATCTGATGGAAAAGGTGTCTCGAGAATAGGTAGACTCAGTGATAAAGCTGTTAATACTCTTCAAAATTATTTTGGTAGGGCTGTTAGGCAGAATATTGATTACATTTATTTAATGAAAAAACCTATATGGGCAATTTTATTAATACAACTTTCACAATACATACATTTTAGATAAAATTATTTGACATCAGTTTTGTCCAAGCATCAATGATAGCTGGTGTTTACAGCTGACAAAGTAACAGGTAATAAATATAAAGAAAACAACTTAAACCAATTAGAATTTAAGATTTGCTAATGCCATTTAGGGTTTATCAACAGAATCGTTTTTGTTAAAATATTTGCACGGCCAAACCCAAAATAGAAACAAATGCTTGTACCAAGAAAAATTCTTGAAATAAGTATTTGTTCTTCAGTTATCGAATTGAATGATGGTAAATCTGGTTTAATACCAATAATACAAATACTTGAATTGCCAGTGTCACAGTTTATGCTTAATGGATTAGGAGAAAGTTATAAAGAATACATTAATAATATTTATGGAAAATCATCAACTAAATAAATGTTAGAAGAAAATTAAGAGCTATTAGAAAAGGTTTTCAGGATAAAGTAATGGAAAAGACTTGTGCTTATTCAGCAGGCTCATATTAATGGTCATAATGTTTTTATCATTTTAATTTTGTTATTTTTTCAGAGTTTAATATTTAGCAATTTTGTTAATTTTAAAATATGATATCTTAATATCAACATAAGCTTTTAGGTTGAAATTTTCACATTTTTAATTATAATGGCAGAAGTTGAACCAATCGTTTATGTTTTATAACAAAAATTTTTCCTTTAATGGTATTTTTTATGACCATTTTCAATGAAAAATACAAAAAAAACAAACTGCAAAATCAACAAAGCTAAAATTAATGAAAATAAACATTTTCTTCTCCATTTCAGAATGTCATGATAATTTTTATTTTTAACGCATATACATTCATTATCCACTCTATAAGTTTGTGGCAAACATCCAGAAAATAAACAATAAATTTAGTTGAGCCGTATTAAGTACTATATTGTAACGCAGACTTTTTTATGGTGGGATATGGGTTAGCTTGGGTAAGATTCATGATGAGATATTCTAATTAATATCAAAGCAATTTACAATATTGTATATGCATTGTATATTTACAATGTTTATTAAATCTTAATTAATATCATAATAATTTACAATAATGCCTAAACAAAATTCTTGACGTAATAATTCCTTTAAGTGGGACTAAATGACTTTAAACCTGATGATTGCACTGAAGACCCCTTTTTTTATAGATTTTATATCGGTTGTGACTTCTGTCAAGATTGGTTTCACGGTACTTGCGTTGGAATGACGCAAGCAGAAGCAAGTTTAGTTGAAGAGTATAAATGTCCTAATTGTAGAAAAAAAACTACAAAAGAATTAGTTGAGTTGAAACCCTTAACAAGTAAAGAGCTTGATGGATTAAAACGCTTGCATAGATCTTTAATTGTAAGAATTTTTTTTTATTTAGTTTTATAAAAATTTTATCATCAATTTTTTCCCCTTTAATATCTTAATTTTACATATGTACTTTAAGTTTTTAACTGAATTGGATTTGCTGTATTTTTTAATAATTTTCTATTGCATAGAATCACAAAATGGCCTGGCCTTTTATGAAACCTGTCGATAAAAAAGATGTTAAGGACTATTATGAAAAAATCAAAGAGCCTATGGGTAAGAAATTTTATATATATATATATATATATATATATATATATATATATATATATATATATATATATATATATATATAGTTGATAATTATTTAAAAATGGTATTATGACATTTGTTATTATGTTTTAGATCTGCAAACAATGAGTACAAAACTGCGTGACAATAGTTACTCAACACTTACAGACTTTGTAGCTGATGTTTCCAGGATATTTGACAATTGCCGGTATTATAATCCGGCAGATTCGTCTTTTTATAGGTGTGCTGAAGTCTTAGAAAATTACTTTGTTCAAAAGTTAAAAGGATTTAAAAATACATTAAAACAACGCTGATTGGTTGAAACAATGGGGATTGTTTGAAACTAATTGCTAAATAAGTCGGTAATTGCATAGCAACAACTTGTTTAGATACAATAAAGGTTACAATAGTAAATATTAAAAATGAAACTGAAGACATTAATCATTTTCAAGATTTGATATTGGATTAATAATTTTTTATTGTCAAGATAGCAGCGAATGTTGTAAATTAGTGAACGGCGGGCTCAATGAAAGAAATGTCTAAATACTGACAATTTACTGGATATATGCAAATTATAATTATTTATTTGTACTTTTTATAAAAAAGTTGACAGTTACAGTTTAGTTTTTTTATCTTGTTTTTTTTGTTTGTTTTTTTTTTTTCTATTTTTCCATCTTTCCATCGTTGGTGGAAAGCAAGTTTAAAATATTGTTTCGAAAAAGAAAGACACGAATTCAGTTTTATTTATAAATCAAAAGAATGACTGCCAATTAATTATATTGGCTCTTGCTAGGATTGTTAAATAGGTTTTCTAATCTCCCTAAATATGGCAGGCCACAGTACTAAATAAAATTTTCAAAGAATCAATTTTACTAATGGCTACATAAAATATTGTTTCTTCTACTTTAGAAAACAATTTTTGTTATGAAATGTATATATAAAGTGTAAGCTCTGTCTGAATTATTTTGATTAATAAAAAAAGCGAAACTTTTTTTTCATCTGGTTCGTTTTTTTAATTTGTTCGTTTTAATTCTTAGTAATAATAGAGTATTTCTATTGCTCTTGATGTAAACAAATGAACGTGAAGTGCATATCGTCATTTAAAGTTTTTTTTTTTATAAGCATAAGATATTTTGAAAATAATTTATGTTTTGAACGAAAAAGCAATTTTACAACATGAGATCTAGTTGAAAGATCTAGGATAAGATTAATCCATATAAAACTTTACCATACATTAAGTAATATGTTTGGCAATGATTTTTTTTTCGAAAAACATGCTTAAAATGCTGAGTAAGACTAATTATTATGATTATGATGTGCTATTTTTTTAATAAATTGCTAACCTACTCTCGAATGGAAAAGAAGGGTTGAATAGCTAGGGAGAGTTTTGATTTGCGATTATTCGTATATCATCCATAATAAAAAAATAATTGAATGAAATTTTTTAAAAACAAAATCAGCTGTAAGCGAAAAAGTTTATAAAAATTACAAAACCTCTTTGAAAACTTTTGCAAAAACTGTTACTCCCAATTATTTAATACATTTAAAAACAACACAAACCGCACATGGCAAATAATGAAAGACAAACTATAACTAAAGCCGATAACTAAAGTTTATATTAACCAAGAACTATAGCTCAATTTTACAAATTTTTCACTGATATAGGACTAACACTGTCCGAAAAAATCTCTAAGAACAAATCTTTGTTTATTGATAATCTAATGGCACCCATGGATAATTGCATTTGTTCAGATAAGTTGTCTTTTGAATTGATGATTTAATGTGTTTGAAAGAGCCTTCAAATCTGTTAAAAAAATAAAACAATTGGAGCAGATCCAATTAATGGAAACATGGTTACGCTTTGAACAATTAAAAGATGTTCTTTTTAAAATCTTTAGAGCTTCTATCCATCAAGGAGTATTACCAGAACAATTAAGAATTGCAAAAATTATTCCTACTTTTAAAAAAGGGGACAAATCTGAAACTAGTAACTATGGCCCCATTTGTGTTCTTTCCGCATTTTCAAAAATTATAGAAAAAATTAAGTTCAACAGAGTATACAAATATTTTCATGATAATATATATAATAAATTACTTTAATAATCTACTTTACATTAATCAATTTAGTTTCAAGAAAGGTAACTTTACTGAACAAGCAATTATCCAATTTGTACGTGAAATCTCAAAATCATTAGCCTTAGACATTTAGCCAAAGACATTGACACACTTAGCCAAAGACATTAAAGAAATAAAACGTGGGCTTACATTTGTCGGTGATCAAAAGTAAGCAAGGTTGGTAGTAAAATGGCAGAAATTAAAGAAACTATTGCGGGTGTTAAATCATTCCACGGAAAATTAAGCAGCGATTCGATTGAAAATAAAAGAAAAACTGTCGATCTTGAGGATCGAAACCAACATAACAATCTAAGAATTGTTGGAATCAAAGAGGAAAATAACGAATCTTTTAATGATGTTATAAAAAAAGTAAATCTACTAATTAAAGAAGATTTTGAAATTGCGGGTCCAGTTGTTATAGAAAAAGCTTATCGTGTCGGTAAATTTAGTAGAAAGCCTAGAACTATTGTCTGCAAAATATTAAACTGGCAGGACAAGGAAAACATCTTATCCAACGCTCGTAAACTCAAGGGGGAAAATATATTTATTAACGAAGACTATAGTGATGAAACAATGTGAATTCATAAAGAAATTTTTGTACAAGCTAAAATACATCGTGGTAACGCGAAAGTCATGAAAAGTTATGAAAAGTTTTCAAACATTAAAAAACTTTTTCAATTTACTATATGAATTTAATATAATACCAACCATATTTAAGCCCACACGCATACTAACTAATCATCTTCTGTGATTGACAATATTTTAACAACCTGTTCCCTAAATACTAAATTTGAATCAGGACTCTTTATTGCGTTTTCCATATTGCACGCGAAGGACTATCTAATATCGACAATAAAAATACTTTGTGACTTACAGAAATCTTTCTATAAAAAATTTAAGTAATTTTAAAACAAACTGCAAGTAGAAGAATAGGATAAGGTTTACTCATCTACAGGTCCTAACATTACGTTTGACCATTTCTCAAGCACATTTCAAAATATCTTTGGTAATGTATGCCCAAAAATAACTACAGAAATAAAAAACAAAGAATATAAGAATCCATGGATGACAATAACTTGAATTAAAGCATCAAAAAGAAAACAAAAACTTTACGTAAAATTTTTGAAATCAAAAAATAAAGAAGATGAAAAAATATAGAAAAATTATAAAAAGTTTTTTTAACATAGTATGAAAGAAGAAATAATAAGATATTTTTCTAATCAGCTTGACAAGCATAAATTCGACGTAAAGAGGACTTGGGCTGTTATAAACGATCTAACAGGAAGAGAGAAAAAGAAACACACTTGCTTACCACAAAAACTAATATCCGATAAAAAAAAATTATAACAAGTACAACAAAAATATGTCAAGAATTTAACAAATATTTTGTTAATGTAGGCCCCTCTCTTGCTTCTAACATTGTGCAGCCAAATAAAACATTTGATAATTTTTTAGGAGAAAAACCCACCACTAGTATAAATAATGAAAAGATAACTAAACTTGAATTTAATAAAGCAATTATTGAACTTAAACGCAACAAGTCATGTGGATATGATGGTATTTCCAGTAATGTAGCTATTTATATAATGGACAGCAGAGCCGTCCTTAGGGTGGCGCGAGTGGGGCAGCCGCTCCAGGCCTCGGGCTTAGGAAGGCCTCTTTTGCTTATTTTAACAAGAATAACGGCCTCGCCCAGCGAGGCTCTACACTCGTTTAAAAATAAGTAAAAGGCCTTACTGTCGTTAAAAAAAAGAAAAAGTCTTGGTTAAATAAAAATATTATAACAATAATATACATGTAAAAAATATTTAAATATATTCCAAAAATATCTAAAAATATCTAAATATATTACCGGCACAATAAGTTCAATTATTAATTAATGGAAAAACATATCAACAAGGTTCTCCTTCGTATGAGATATAGCGAACAAAATAATGCAAAACATCGTGAACAAACAAAAAAAAGTTGAAAAAAAAACAACAAATTAGGCAAAATTTTCATTTTGTTTTTCAAAAATAAAAAAGAAGAAAAAACAGAATATCTAAAATCAAGGAAAAAAAGCGAATTATTTGAAAGAATATAAAATAAAAATTAAAAGTAACTTTGAGAAAGCTTTTTTTTTTATATATTTTTGTAGTTAATCATTTTATATTACGATTTATTTTTAGTTAGTTTTAGTTTATGCTGTTAAGTAAAGATTTGTTTTTTTTTTAGTTTTTTAGTATATGTTGTGCATATAGTTTTGCCTATTATTTTTAATTGATGTTTTACGGTAAGAAGAGTCGTCACGGACTATTATTTCAAATAATACTTCACGTTTTTTTAAAATATCAATAGTAAGCCGATAAAGTTGAGTGACCAAAGATAAAACGTGGTCAAAGGTACAACAGGTTCCCCTATAGTTTGTACTCTCGAGTCCTTAATAAAAGGAGGGGCGAATATTCTACAAATTATCAAAGCTGCTGTCTAAAAAAGAAAAACCAAAGAATGTCGCGGATATAAAAGCAGCTAAGTATTTTTCAGTAATGCTAGTCTGCACACCGGATCTAAATCACAAGGAGCAGTTATCCTTGATAATACAATTTGCAAATATTGATATGAATGCAAGTTCTCTTGAGTGTGAAAATAAACGTGTAAGCAACGTGAAGGATATTACTTTTGATTCTTAGACGTTAAGTTAACAACGGAAAGAATCTAACTAATGTTCTTCCACAAGAGTTAGATGAAATTGGATTGCAAATCAAGACCTGCAGGGAACAATAGCATGGAAACGTTTCCAATATAAAAAGTATCCACTTAGTAGTACAGGCACGGATCTTTGAAATAAATCTAAAGACATTTTACATGCCCTGCGCTAGCCATAGCCTCAACCTCCTAATTTGTGACGCTTCAAAATGTTCACCTTAATGTATTACGTTTTTTGGTATTGTGCAAAGAATTTATGCATTTTTTTTTTCGTCAACAATGCGGTGGGAAATTTTTATGAAACATGTACCAAATATAACTGTAAAAAGGTCCAGTGACTCTTGTTGGGAAAGTAAATTGGAAAGCGTAAAAGGGCTTTGATATCAAGTTGAGGAAGTTCATACTGCCTTAGTTGAATTAGTTGAGTTCACTGAGGATCCAAATGCCAATAGTGAAACACAATCAGTTATGAATGAAATAAGTAGTTATGAGTTTTTACTAGCCCTATGTATTTGGTATGATGTACTTTTTGCAGTAAACAGTGTTAGCTAAAGCCTACAGGCTTAAAAAATGCACCTTTGAGTTGTATCGCAGTTATTTCAAGGGTTAGTTCAGTTTTTTTCGAAATTTGGAGCTGAAGGTTTTGTGGCGGCAACGTTGGTAACAAGAGAACTTAGTGAAACTCGGGGTGTAGAGCCAAATTTCAAAGAAGTCAGGCAGAGAAAGAAAAGAAGAATGTTTGAGTACGAGGAAGAAGATGATATTACGGTAGAATCTGCCAATTAAACGTTTAAAGTAGAGTAATTTTTTGTTATTGCAAATACTGCAGCAC